TTTTTTTTTTGATGTACATCATATAAACTCAGTTTTTTTTGTTTTTTGCCTGTTACTGTCTGACGCCTTTTCTCCTAGTCCTTTCCCTCCAGCCTGATGCAGAGTAGTGAAAAATACAAAAGTATTTTCATCCATCTTCTTGTCCCTCCATTTCAACTAACTTTGAGCATGTTCGGGTGATCCTTCAGTACCATGGACAGCAGAAAATCCGTATTGCAGGAGTCCAACAGTTTACCTTCAGTTAAGTCTGATTGAAAAATTACACACAAGAAAGATGGATTTGGTCGGAAACAGTAGAATTGGATAAGTAAGTGTAAGAAGACTGTTGCAGCTTGAAGCATGGGGGTGTTATGAATACATAACAGTCAAGTTGCAGTGTCAACCATCCCCTGACACGTGGGGGGTTGAGTTCTTCAAACCAGCAGGGATGTGTCCCGGGGTCAGGAAGATTGCTGAGACCAAACACTGTATAGGCTTGTGTCAACCGAACATTCAATAAATATACGACCATTTTATTGATATCTATATGGAGAGAAAAAAACCAAAACAACACGCACACGCGTGCGCGCGCACACACACACACACACACACACACACACACACACACACACACACACACACACACACTGGAGCCTACCCCAGCTGTCTGCGGGCAGTAGGCAGGGGACACCCTGAACAGTTTGCCAGCCAATCGCAGGGCACACAGAGACGAACAACCATCCGCGCTCACACTCACACCTAGGGACAAATTAGAATGTTCCATTAACCTGCCATGCATGTTCTTGGAATGTGGGAGGAAACCGGAGTACCTGGAGAAATCCCATGCAGGCCTGGGGAGAACATGCAAATTCCACACAGGGAGGCCGGAGCAGGAATTGAACCCAGAACCTCTGCACTGTGAGTTCGACGCGCTAACCCAGGCGTCGGCAACCCAAAATGTTGAAAGAGCCACATTGGACCATAAAAACAAAAAACAAATACGTCTGGAGCCGGAAAAAAATTAAAAGAATTATAATGAAGACCACACATGCTGTATGTATCTATATTCACTATAATAGCCTACTATCAAAATGACTAAAATGCCTTTTATCGATCAACCAACCTCCGGCGATTGACCTGTTACCGCACACGCACGCATGCCAAAATGAGCAACAGCCATAACGGCCGCTAAGATGAACCAGACGTGGGACGCACTTTTGCAGCATGTTAACGATCGTAGCCAACGTGTACCATTTAAAAATGCTTCTCTCGGCCCTCTGGATTCCCATTCTTTGCCAGTACCCTGTGGTGAATTGTACATAAAACACCTTCTTTTTTTTTTTTTTTTTTGAACAACAGCCACCTGCCTGGCATCCCGTCCTGCTCATAGAAACGTGTGTTGTAGGCAATGACGCAAATCTTCGTTGACAGAAATGTTGAAATTTATTCTACACATTTTTACAGCATTGGAAAACGTTAAGAATGTATTATGTTTGTCCTCGTACAGAAACCATATTAAAACAAAAAAAACAATTTCCTTTTTCAAGAATATTTGAAAAAGCTCCAGAGCCGCAGGTTGCCAACCACTGGACCACCCATAAATATACATACATACATATCTCTCCCTTCTCTTTGTGTGTGTGTATATATATATATATATATATATAAAAGACTCAGAAAAGCATTAAACAAGTGCAAATCGTGAAAAAACAGAAAACCAAAACAAATGCCATAAATAAGAAAAACGATGAAAAAACAAGAACCTTTAAAAAAAGTCTACCGCAAAAAGAGAAAAAAAACCTAAAAATTGAATCAGACATTAGATAAATAAAAAGCAAACAAGCCAGAAATGAAAAGAAAAATAAAATAAAGAAAAAGGAGAACAAGAGAAGTTCGTAAGGGAGGAAAGTTGATAAAGGAAAAAAATCATCCCTTCGAAAAGGGATGATGGAAAGGTGAAAAAAAACTGGAAAGAAAAATGCTAAAGACAAGTAAATGGGGAATGAAGGTGAAAAAGAAAAATAATAAAAAGACTGAACAAGAAAAAACAAAACTCAAAGAGAAAGGAAACTTGAAAAGGGAGAGGAAATGAAAGACAGGTTTGATAAACGGAAATAGGAATGAAGAAAAAGTCAAGAAAGTGGCGGAAAAAGGCAAATCAAAAAAGGACCTACTTTGTCTTCATGCAAATCCAAATGCTTATTGCTTTTTGTACTGTACTGCTACTCCTCATTGTGGCTTGAGACGTTCGCTGATGACATGCTGCCTTCCGCGGCCTGCATCCTGGCCTCCTGCAGGGCGGTGGCCTGGTGAGAGGTCGTGTCGCATTAGTGCTCGCCCTGTGTGATATAGATTAGCGCACTAGGATACTGGAGACGTGCGTGCGCGCGCGCGCACACACACACACACACACACACACACACACACGGGTCCACTGGAAAAGCATCAAAGCATGTCAGTGTCGAGTACATGTGTCGGTCATCCTACAACAGCACAGTTCTTAAATGGAGCCTCTCATCTGCTTGCAACGTTGCTAAGTCAGCATTCCAGTTGGGCTTTACACAATCAGGAAGATATCTGATAACCAAATCAGAAGATGGAACAACCTATCCAATCTCTTTTAAGAACTCATTTACTCAACAGTCGACCCCCGCTATTTGCGGGAATCAGGACCGGCCCAGCCCAAAAAGAGCGGGTGAGGTGTCCCCCCACAAAAAAAAAAAAAAAAAAAAAATTGTCAATCGGCCGATCAGATCCAGCAGGTCAGATCTGTGTAGTTTAATTACAATTGCTTAATAGACAAATTGATTGTGTAAGATTTAGATTGCCTTGAAGCTCGGCAGCCATCTCTAAAAAGAACACCGTCATTAAAACACTGTAGTAGTTTGGGACATCCTCAGACTGTATCAACCCATCCATCCATCCATTTTCTAATCCGCTTCTCCTCATGAGGGTCGCGGATGCACTGGAGCCTATCCCAGCCGTCATCGGGCAGTAGGCAGGGGACACCCTGAACTGGCTGCCAGCCAATCGCAGGGCACACATAGACAACCATTTGCACTCACCTTCACACCTAAGGACAATTTCGAATATTCCATTAACCTGCCATGCATGTTTTGAAACCGGAGTACCCGGAGAAAACCCACACAGGCGTGGGGAGAACATGCAAACGCCCCACAGGAAGGCTGGTGTCGGAAAAATACTCCAGGCTGAAAGCAGAGATGTAAAATGTGCTTTGTCTAATTCGTTAAGGTGTTTTGATGTAAATAGACTGTGAAAATGTCACGAAGACACCTGGGAGCTACTTTCAGCGAAGGGATAAACTTAAATTCATCTCCTTTTCGGAGTCACATCAATGATAAGCATCCCAAAGGCTATCGGTGTGCATCACGTTACGTTAAAAGTCATCTTTTTATTGAGCTTTTGCTTGCAACCCGCATACACAGGTGGAAAACATCACAGTGGAGCGGTGGCGGGGGGCCTGTCACTCAAGGGGAAAAATATTAGGGAAACCCCCCACCCAAAAAATGTCATTTAAAATGCTTACTTAGATATTATATTTATATGTTCGTACATGCACGCGTTTCCCGGCTTTAAAAAACATGCAACGTGACAACGGAACGTTCCGCTTGGCCAGGTGAAAAATCATAAGCTCATGATAAATAGAAGATATGTGTGTGTGTGTGTGTGTGTGTGTGTG